CAGAGAAAGCGCTTAATAAATGTTGGCTATGTCCTAAAAGTCCTCCAGCTCTGACCTTGTAGGTTCTCAGGTTCGTTCCAAGCTCTGACCTTCCATGTTCTGATTCTCCCCAGCTCTGACATTGCGCAAAACTCGGCAAAAACGTCTTTGTCGGACTACGTGGAGCGTCCATCGCTGGGAGTTTGAAGGAGCCAAGCCAAGCTGGGGTTATGGCCCTTCCCACCCCCACCCCCCATTATTCTTGGTTGCACCTTCTGGGGTCAGGCAGACCAAGGCTGATCCCTCCCTTGAAAGGCAGGAGCCTTTCAAACACTTGGCGAGAGTTCTCCTGCGTTCATGGCTTTCGCCCCCTCTCCGGACTGGACGTCCCCGGTGCCCGGCCATGGCGTCGCCGATCTCTTTGCCTTCTGGACCTTCTCGGGCTCATTCGCGTCCTATCTGTGTGTGCTCATCCTCCCTGACAGGAGGGGCCCTCAACAGCCTCCCAGCCAGGCAGGGCTGGGCTGGGCGATGCCCCTCCCTGCTTCTCCAAGCATTTATTCTTCTGATGTCTATCACCATGGCATCGAGGCGCTGAGACAGATGGCCCCCCGGAGGATTGCAGGAACAGCATGAAACAGATTATCCATATCTCCCCGAGACATGTGCCGTCATCTATCATCGTGAGGGACCGACGATAAATATCCCCGTGGCTCCCTCCACCCCCCAACCCCAACGGGAGCCGGAAAAAAAAATCCTTTCTTCATCGATCATCCCTTACTTACTGTGTCCTGCATGCCACCCAGCCAGGCTTTCCTTCCGCTTGGAGCTGGACAGCCTTGGGACTTGAAGGGGCCAGACCCTCGTCCTAGCCCTTCTGTGCAGGGCTCGGATGAGTGAGGAATTGACCTGCTCCCGAATGATGATGACAGACAATCTTGGATAGAGGGCTCTACGGTTGGCGAGGGGCTGCAGGCATCATCCTCCCCCTTACAGAAGTAGAAACTGAGGCTCAGAGAGGGCAGCTCGCTTGCAAAGGGCTGCACAGTTAGTGCCCAAGGTGGTTTAGTTTGGTTTTTTTTTTTCTAAAATGTCATTAATTTTTTTTGTTTTTAATACCACCTTCATTTCCAGATACCTCTCTCCCCTTACTCCCACCAAGAGAAAGAAAGAAAAAAAGTCCAGCAAAGCTAATCAACAAATCAGTAGTATCTGACAAGTACATGTAGTATTCCACACCCACAGACCCCCACCCCCATCTTTGCAAAGAAGGAAAAGAGGTATATTTTCTCATCTTTAGGACTAAGCTTGGTCATTATAATTAAACAGATAATAAAACAAATAATGTTAGTAACAAGAGTAGCACCTCTGAAGTGTTTGAAGGTCTGCAAAGCAAACCTTACATATTGTATCATCTGATCCTCACAACAGCTGCTGAGGGAGGTCCTACTATGATCCCCATTTTACAGATGAGGAAGTTAAGGCTGAGATTTAAAGCTGAAAGGATTCTCAAGTCTAATCCCATTTTATAGACAAGGAAACTGAGGCCTAAGAATTTTAAGTGACTTACCAAAGGTCACACATAGATTATATCTCTAGAACTGGAAGGGACATTGGAGACCGTTTAGTCCAATCCCCTTGATTTACAGGTGAGGAAACTGAGGCACAAAGAGGTTAAATGACTTATCCAGGATCATACAGTTACTTTAATGCTATTTCTCAGAACAGAGGAACAATTATGATGGCAAACCCATCCAAATATTGAATCAGTCATGAAGTAAGGTACAAATAGGAGGAGCTGTACGCCCTGATCACCACACCAACCTCTTAACAGTGCCGCACTGTCTTTGACCTCCTTGGGGGATATGCATAGCAGTGACATCAGAGGTAAGATCTGAACCCGGGTTTTCCTAATGCCAAGTCCACTGAGCCATACTGCCTTACCCTTTCAAAATCTGAAGAACTAAGGAAATGACTTCTAGCAAACGCCCACGAGCTCTAGATGGACACTTGTGCCCCTATCTGAGATTGGGGCTTTAGGACCCCACAGCTCTGCCAAGCTGTGTTTCACAGCTACCTCTTAGGTCTCTGACCATCCTACACCTTTCCTCACCCATTCCTGTCGTCACTGTCTGAAATACTTTCCCAGCCAAGGCCTTGATAGTTGCACGCTGACCAAGGTCTTGAGCCCCTGGACAGCAAACAAACTCACCTGATGTTGCATTGTAGTAGTATCCGTGGCCTGGACCCTAGTCCCAGTAGGAAGCATGGTGATTGTTACTCTAAGAGCCAGCATCAGAAACCTGACATGCCAGTGATTCTAATCAGCTCCTTTCCCAGCTTTGCTGACAAGTCCTTACAAATACAGGGGCTTTGTGTTTGTAACTAGCAAGAAAACAGCCAGGGAGGCCTAGCACAACTGAGCCTAGTAAGGAACTCTTCTCCTATGGGGTCCAGCTGTCAGCCCAGCCTTGCTGTGGTACGCAGCAGGTGTACTTTCCCTCTGGGTCACCCCCTCTGATCCTCATAGAGGGTAGCCAGGGCCCCTGCCCGAAATCAGTCGCCTTTTATAGGAAGCATCAATTAGGTTTGTGAGGAGCTGTCCATGGCTGCAGGTCAGGCAGAATCATGAAATCACAGAATCGAAAGGGGCCTTAGAAGTCATCTAGTCTACGTTTCTCACTCTGTATTTGAAGACGCTGAAGCCCAGGAAAGTGAAGTAACCACTTGGAGCCGCCCAACTAGAACTTGAACTCTGTTCTCCTGACTCCACATTCAGGATCTTCTCAAAATACTTTGGTCTCATACAACCGTTTGGCTACTTCTAGCCCCTTAACCCTGGATTCCTCACTCGGGGCTCCATGAAGGCTCCCACATAGCCCCAGGAAGCCCCTCCCTCTTCCTCTTTACCTGTTGAATTCCTACCCCTCTTTATAGCCCAACTCACATGCTGCCTCTACAGGAAAACTTCCCCATTCATTTCTTCCCAGGCAGCAACGTCTTCCCTCTTGGTCTTCCCGGGGAGCTTTTATTTGCCCTCCCTCTAAACCACTTGTCATGTCAATCCAAGAAGTACACCCCACACCTAGCAAATAGCTCCTGCCCTCAAGGATCTTAACCATAGGCCAGGCCCAATGCTAGGTGTGGGGTATATAATTATAAAAATGACACGGTCCCTGCCTCCAAAGAGCTTACGTTTCATGTGTACATAAAGGTATCTATACAATGTTTCATATTTTATTTCTATATAAAGGTATATTCAAAATAATAATAGCTAATAATACTATGATGTTGATATTATTATTATGCAAAAATAGTTTTCTCTGTTCCTTTCTTATCTCCTTGCTAAAGTGTAGCTCTATGAGGGCAGGGACTAAGTCTACTCTAAATATTCCATTTCTCTTCCCCTCACTCCCAAGCACAGTGCTCCCTACATAGAAGATGCTGAATGAGTGAATAAATGACTAATGGTCCTGAAACAAGGAGGATCATTTCAGAGGAAGGAGGCCATGTCTGCTTTGCACCCAAAAGAGCAGAAATCACTAGTGGGGTGCTTACTGATCTGGATGTGTAGGTGGGTAAGAAGGATTTGGGGCAAATTAAAACAACTCTGAGGTACCACCTCACACCTATCAGATTGGCTAATATGACAGAAAAGGAAAATAATAAATGATGGAGAAGATGTGGGAAAACTGGGACACTAATGCATTATTGGTGGAGTTGTGAACTGATCCAACCATTTTGTAGAGCAATTTGGAGCTATGCCCAAAGGGCTATAAAACTGTGCATACCCTTTGATCCAGCAATGCCATTACTAGGTCTGTATCCCAAAGAGATTATAAAAATGGGAAAAGGGCCCACATGTACAAAAAATTTTTATAGCAGCTCTTTTTGTGGTGGCAAAGAATGAGAAATTGAGGGGATGCCCATCCATTGGGGAATGGCTGAAGAAGTTGTGGTATATGAATGTAATGGAATACTATTGTGCTGTAAGAAATGATGAGCACGCAGACTTCAGAAAAACCTGGAAAGACTTGTATGGACTGATGCTGAGTGAAGTGAGCAGAACCAGGAGAATGCTGTACACAGTAACAGCCATGTTGTGAGATGACTAACGTTGATAGACTTAACCCTTCTCAGCAACGTAAGGATTTAAGACATCTCCAAAGGTCTCATGATGGAAAAGGCTATCCACATCCAGAGAAAGAACTATGGAGTCTGATTGCAGATCGAAGCAGACTATTTTCACTTTTTTTTATTGTTATTTTTTGCTTTTTCTTTCTCATGGTTTTTCTCTTTTGTTCTGATTCTTCTCTCACAACATGACTAATGTGGAAATATACTTAATATAATTGTACATGTATAACCTCTATCAGATTGTTTACTGTCTTGGGGAGGGGGGAGGGAGGGAAGGGAGGGAGAAAAATTTGGAAATCAAAATCTTATAAAAGTGAATGTTGAAAACCATTTTTACATGTAATTGGAGAAAAAACACTATTAAGTGGGGAGGGAGAAGGATTTGGGGGCTGGTTAGGTCATTTCTTATGTCTAAGAAAGTAGCTGTGAGCCATCCTTGGTTATTATTACCCAGTGAGAGCCCAGGAAGAGACCACTCCTTCGCCCCCAGGCTTTTAAGGCCATCCCATGATTCCACTATTCCCACCTGCTCAGCTCATTGGCTCACCCACCCTTTCTGAAAAGTCTGCAAGATATCCTGAATATGGACTTTATACTACAGCATGGCGAGTACATTTTGGGTAGGGAGGGGAAGGTTTTTACTGAAAAGGGGAAATCATCAAGGTAGCTAGGCAGAGCTTAGAGGAAACTTGGCCCTGGCCTGGTCCTCCAGTGGAATGAATAAGAATCTGGATTGATTCAAGAAGGACCTTGGACACATGACTTCCCCTCATGGGGCTCCAATTTCCTCATCTATCAGAGGAGGGGGTTGGGTGAGAGACCACGTGTGAGCTTCCTCCCAGCTCTGACATGTTATGTAAGAACAAACACTCCGGTGGCCTGAGGTTAGATCCCTGCTGTTCTCTCCTCCCTCCTCTGCTGCTGGGGGCAGCAGGATTCTGGACAGTCGCCCCCTCCATCTCTTTGGACCACTGCCTCATCCTCTACAAAACAAGGACATTGGACTAAATGATCTCTAAGACTCTTTCCAGCTCTAATGGTCCGTGCTTTTAAGGGAACTCTTCTATTATCATCAGTAACAAAGGAGTCCTGAATACCCTCTAATTTTATCCTTGGAGCTTTCTCCACAGTACTTGAATCACAGAATCTTTGAGCAGGAGAAACCTTTGAGGTCAGCCAGTGTCACTTGAGGGTGACCTGAGCCCAAGAAGAGCCATGAGATGTCTCATCAACCAGGAAATGAGGGGGTCGGACACTGTTGTGTGAGTAGAGGACAACCAATGGATGGTCCAAGGGTTGCACTGGTCCTCATGAAATAGTAAAAGTCCCAGGAGCATTTATTATTCACTCACTCTTTGTTGGGCCCATTTCTAGGGGTGGAGTATACAAAGACAAGGATGAAATGGTCTCTGCTCTCAAGGAGCTTACATTCCATTGTATGCCAGGCACAGTGTTAGATGTGGAGTGTGCAATTACAAAAAATAACAGTCCTTGTTATGAAGGGTGAATCACTGATGAAGGATTTCCAGGAGAACAGGAGGAAGGAAAGGACATGGGTCTCATAGGATAAGGAGAGGTGGATGGGATTACCATCTGTCCTGGTGGAATGAGCCCCCATTGGTGAAATCCCAGATCTGTTGACTGACAATGGATTGTAAGTCCTCTGGAGCAGGCTCTTTGTAAATGAGAGCAGCAAGCAGGAAGGAGACTAACTGGGAACTAAGGGGAACTCTGGTTCCCTGAAACAGGCAGTCTGTGGGGCCTTCTATCCTGTGGTACCTAAAGAGGAAGCAAAGAAACTTGACTAAACCACAGAGATACAGACTGTCTCAGAGCAGCCTCCTTTAGGAAAGAGAGCTCTTCTTCCTCCTCCTCCTCCTCCTCCTCCACCCCAGCATGGCCTTCAGATTCCTTGGATTCATTCTACTCCCATGGACCCTTCAGCCAGGAGGTGAGTGTTGCTTTTATCTCCTACCTTCTCCCGTGCTATCACATCAAAGTCATTTTCATCCAGGCCCCCCCCCCACTCCTCTTCTGGGGCTTTGTTCACCTTGGGGTGGTGGGATTAACTCAGAAGCCTTCTTGTCCAACCCCTTCAGGTGACAGATGAGAAGCCTGAGACCCAGGGAGGGTTTAACAATTTGCCCAAGGTCACCTAGGCAGTGACATCAAAGGTGGGACTGGATCCCAGTTTCTCTGACTCTAGAACCCAGGAGTTTGCATGATTTAGCAGAAGGAGCCCCCTAAGGTCCCTGGGTGACATGCTCAGACTCAGGCTTCAGGGCCTCAGAGCTTCTCTGGGACTCAACATTCAGAGAATCTTTTTTTGCTTGGGATGTGCTTCCAAGCTCACATTACTCAGAGCTGGCATGTTTCCCATTAGCACTTTCTTGAAGCGGTCCTGGTACAGACGATAACAGAGCTTGGCGCTTCTGGCTCTGCTCTCCTCCACCGGCCCCCATCCTGAGCAAGGATTTCATAACCATCACCTCCTGTAAATAAAAGCAGACTGGCATTTCCCCTGTTGCACCAAGAGTTAACGCAATTGGAGAAATTCCTCTTGCACAAGGTCTGGGAACCAAGGCTGGTCACAGAGAGCCTGTTAAGGGGCCTGGACCCTCAGAAATGACTCCAAAATCACAGACTTAAGCTTAACACTGGGCTTTGGCTTTCTTATGTCCCTGTAGTCCGTGACCAGACATTGGCCAGAAGAAGATACAGCCTGGCTGCTCTTTGGTATTTCCCCACCCTGCCTGACCTGTGATCCCATTTTGATTTCTTCTGGTATCAGCTTTCCCCTGCTTGCCACCCCCAACCTCATGTAGCACCTTGCTCTTTTTTTAAAAAGTTTTTTTCTTTTTCAAAATTAAAAATTTTATAATCAATGAAAACTCACCTTTTTCTTTCTCCCAACTCCCTCCAACCCCCATGGAGAAAGAAAGAAAAGCAAAACCCCTGTTACAAACATGTACGGTCAAGCAAAACAAATTCCCAGGTTGGTTGTGTCAAAAAACCCAAACAACTCCGCAAAAGTCTCAGTCTGCCCCTTGAGTCTTTCACCTCTTTACCAACTCTCTCAGGAGGGGACTCTATGAGTTAGCGTGAGTCCTCTGGAATCCTGGCTGGCCATTAGACTGATCAGAGCTCCCAGGTCTTTCAGAGTCCTTAGGTAGTCTTTATTGTTTTGTTTTTTGTGTGTAAATTGTTCTCCTGGTTCTGCTCACTTCACTCTGCGTCCATCCATACAAGTCTTCGCAGGTTTTCTGAAACCACTCCCTTCATCATTTCTTTTTTCACATTTTTATATTTTATTTTTTTCCAATTACACATAAAAACAATTTTAGCATTGCTTTAAAATTTTTTAGTTCCACATTATCTCCCTCTCTCCCTCCTTCCCCTCTCCCTTAAGAAGGCAACCAATTTGATATAGGTTATACCTGTGCAGTCATGTGAAACATATTTCCATATTAGTCATGTTGTGAAAGAAAACACAGACAAAAAAAACCACAAGAAAAATAAAGAAAGTTTAAAAAAATCTGCTTCAATCTGCACTCAGATTCCACCAGTTCTTTCTCTGGAGGTAGATAGCATTGTTCATCATGAGTACTTTGGAATGGTCTTGGATTGATGTATTGCTAAAAATAGCCAAGTCATTTACAGCTGATCATTGTACAAAGTTGCTGTTACTGTATCCAGAGTTCTCTTGGTTCTGCTCATTTCATTCAGCATCAGGTCATGCAAGTCTTTCCAGGTTTTTCTGAAGTCTGCGTACTCATCATTTCTTATAGCACAATAGCATTCCATCACAATCATATACCACAACTTGTTCTGCCATTCCCCAATGGATGGGTATCCCCTCAGTTTCCAATTCTCTGCCACCACAAAAAGAGCCGCTGTAAATATTCTTGTATATTTTTAAAGTTTGTTTCGCTTCAGATGAATCCCTCCCTTATTCTATCCTCCTTCTGGTTCCCCATCTCCCTTCTCTCCTTTGCCTCACGTACCCAACTCTGCGTGTTTGTGTATTCTTCCTTCCTTTGACAAGTTCAGATGAGAGTCAAGGGTCGGTCACTCCCCCCATCTCCTTCTTGTTTGTCTGGATTTCTCTATCAACACCTGGATTATGTGAAATAATTTCCCCCATCCTTTTTCTCCCTTCCCTTCCCTTTACATCCCTCTTTTTATATCATCAGAACATAACAGAATCTGTCCCAGGCCTTCTGTCTGATTAGACTCCCTCTCTGAAGCCTGATGGTGATGGGGCTAGGATGATAGAAACAGTTTATTCTCTTATGATTGCTCCCTCGTATTTACCTCTTTGTGTTTCTCTTGATGCCTGTATTTGTACTACGAAGTTTCTATACAGCTCTGTTCTTTTTATCAGGAATTCTTGGAAGTTCTCTATTTCATTAAAGATCCCCTTATCTCCTTGTAGGATTTTACTCAGTTTTGCAGAGTAAGTTATTTCTTGGTCCTAAGCCTTTGTCTTCTGGAATATCATATTTCAAGCTCTCTCGACTCCTTTATAGTGGCAGCTGCTAAATCATGTCACACAGCACTTTGTCTTGGAATCAGGAGGCCAGAGTTCAAATCCAGAGTCTGACATATTTTTTTTAAAAATCTTTTTTATGATTAGCTTATCAATTAATAATAATAATAGCTAATATTTATATAGCATTTACTATGTACTGCAATTATTATCTCTTTCAATCTGCACAATAATCCTGAGAGGTAGGTGCTCTTATTATCCCCATTTTGGAGATAAGGAAATTGAAGCAAACAGAGGTTAAGTGACTTGCTCAGGGTCACACAATTATTCATTGTCTAAGACTGGATTTGAACTCAGATCTTCTTCACTCCAGTTATCAATTATCAACAAACAAATATTTCAATACAGATAAAAACAAGAAAGAAACTTGTCTAAGAAAATATGGACTTATTAATTTCCATTCAACAAGCATTTCTTAAGTACACTATGCTGGGCATTGTGCTTGACTGAGGATTCAAGGACAAAAAGCCCGAAATAGCCCTGCCCTCAAAGAGCTTACACTCTACTGGGGGGAGGTGGAAGGTGGACTCTTCCGCATTTTTCCTGGCTGTTTCCCCATGTCTGGAATTCTCTCCAGCTGCTTGTCTCTGAGTTCTGCCTTCCCAATACCTCTCAATGCTAGTAGGTTCTCTGTACTGATTAGTTCCCATCTGTCCCGCCCACAGCTTGTAAATAAAGCTATTTGCATAGTGTCCCCCATTAGACTGGGAGCTCCTTGAGGACAGGGAACTGTTCTTTGCTTTTCTTTGTATCTACAGCACTTAGCCCAGTGCCTGGCACATAGTAGGCACTTCATACATGTTCGTTGACATGGAGAAGGAATGCAAAATGAACAAGGCGCCCCAAGTCCTTTACTGGTTGTCTTCCGGATAAAAAGAGAGTTAGAGGGGCAGCTAGGTGGCGCAGTGGATAGAGCACCAGCCCTGGATTCAGGAGGACCTGAGTTCAAATCCGGTCTCAGACATTTGACACTTACTAGCTGTGTGACCCTGGGCAAGTCACTTAACTCCATTGCCTAACCAAAAAAAAAAAAAGAGAGAGAGAGAGAGAGTTAGACTCTGAGCTCCCTTCCAGTCCTAGATCTACGATCCGTGGCCTTGGCTGTGCGACATCTCAGCCTTGCTTTTCTCCTCTATAAAATGGGATGATAATCTGCATTGCCGACTCCACAGGAGTTGCGAGGAAGGAGTTTTGCCAGCCCTAAGTCAAGGGAGAGCAAACAAGTATTTATTCAGCTCTTCCTGTGTGCCAGGCCTGGGCATCTTAATTGGGGTTGATAGAATGAGCGCTCCTCTGTCATGCATTCCTCTGCGCCGTAGCCCTCTGGGTATGCTTCTTATAGCAACAGGAAAAGCTGGTTTTCTTTACCATCACCCTCCAACCTGCCCCCTCCTCATTTCTCTTCGTCTTCCTTCCCTGCTGCTTACAGGCACACTCAGCCCTCCCTTGTCCTTAAAAGCCTCGATTCTCCGGCGGCCTTCTCCTCGGGTGTCTGCCTTCTCGAGAGGTCTCTCTCCTCCCTTTCCTTCACAGCCAAAATCCTAGAAAGAGGCATCTCCCTGTGCGTCTCCACATCGTCACCTCCCACACGCTCCTCCCCACCTTGACGTCTGGCTTCCCAATGGGCTCCTCACCTGAAGTTGTCCTCTCTGAGGTTATCCCAGGCCTCTCCCCTGCCTGATCCAGTCCTCCTCTCTTCTCCTTGGCCTCTCTCTCCAGGGGGCCAGCTGACCACCCCCTCCTCGATATTCTCTTCTCTCTGGGTTGGGTTTTGTTGTTTTTAAGACACTACTCTCTCCTGGTTCTCCTCCTGCCTGCCTGACCACTCTTCCTCAGCCTCTTTGCAGGGTCAGCTTCCTTCTCCTCCCCTCTGAGTGAGAGATTGTCCCAAGACCCTGACCTGGGCCTTCTCCTCTTTTCTCCCTACGTTCCTCTGTCTACATCTTGTTCTCACTTCTTCACAGTAAACTGTAGCTGGGTTTTTGTATCCCTGGTGCCTAGCACAGTGCCTGGCATGGAGTTGGAGCTTAATAAATGCTTAGTGAATGAATGAATCTCATTTTCCCCTGTGGGTTCAGTCGTCATCTCCATGGGGAGGGAGTGAATGAATGAGATGTTTGTTCAGTACTTACTATGTGTAGAGCACTGGGGGGTACAAAGAGAATAGATAAGCCAGCCCCTGCTCTCAGGGAGCACCCACTCTAAAGAGGGAAGCAACACCTATGACTGCATATCGCGTTGAAAAGTTCCCCGGTCCTTAGGATGCAGCCGCATTGCACATGGATAGGAATGGCTCTTCTCTAATGCTGTGATTTCTTTAATGCCATTGTTCCCAGGATGAGGGGCTGAGGGAAGATGGGGGCTTTAGGCTGGCTTGCCTGTTACATGCTGCCTCAGCTAGGCTGGCACGCCTGCCCTGTGGGTGGCAGTTCGGGTACGGGCTTGGAATCCAGAAGACCTGGGTTCAACTCTTACCCCTAAAGTTTCCTCCCTCTGGGCGCGTCATTTAACTTCTCTGAACCTGTTTCTTCCCATAAAATGAAAGAACGGGACACAATGGCATCAGAGGTCCCTTCCAGTTTCAGATGTAGGCTCCCATGATTCCCAAGGTGACATACGCAGCTCTGAGTTCCAGTCCCAGGTCATCAGATGCTTGCTAGCCATCTTCACCTAGAAGTCCCCCAGGCATCCCAAATTCAACATGTCCACAACATTAACCCCCCTCCCATCACACCAATAAGCCCCTCTCTCTTCTGTCCAGGACAGACACCCAGGTTAGAAGCCGTGGATCGGGGGTGGGGAACCTGGGACCTCGAGGCCACATGTGGCCCCCTAGGTCCTTGAGTGCGGCTCTTTGACAGAATCCAAACTTGTGAAGACAAAGGGCTGCACTTGAGGACCTGGAGGGCCACGTGTGGCCCCTGCTTAGACTCAACCTTCATTCTTCCCTCTCCATTATCTTCCTTATCTAATCATTGTTTGTGAGGAGACCTTTAAAGGCATGTATGCATCTGGGTAAATGGTGTGAGATGCTAGTCTCTAGCTAACTTCCGCCAGACTGCTGTCCACTTTTCCCAACTGTTTGGATCAAATAGTGAGTCTTTACCCCAAGAGTTGATTCATTCTGAGCATACACAGACCTACACATCTGCCTCCCCAGTGGAACGGAAGCCTCTCTAGGGCAGGGTTTGCTTCCCTTTTGTCTTTGTATCTATCCTTCAGTGCCAGACACTTAGTAAGCACTTCACCAATTCTTGTTTAGTGATTGTTAGTCTGGAAGTCAGAAGAGCTGAGTTTGGACATTGGCTTTTCTCCTGACATTTCTGTGACTTGGGCTGAGCCTTTCCCCCTTTCTGGCCCTCAGTTTCCTCATCTGTAAAATGAAGATGATGAACTAGATGAGCTAAGGTGGCTTCTAGCTCTAAATTCTATTATTTCTAGTCAATCAGTCAGCGAGGCTTCCTCGAGGCATTGGAGCTTTCCTGTTCTCAAGGAGCCCACGTTGGACGAGGGGGAGACAATACAGGGAGGGAATGATGACTAAGGAGGTAGCTTCCCTCTGAGGAGTTACAAAGACAGAGTCAAGCTGCAGGCGGCCGATGAGTAGTAACTTCCAGACCCATCGATCCAAGCCTCTCATTGTATGGAGGAGGAAACTGAGGCACAGAGAGAAAAAGTCAATTGCTCCCAGTTACCGGGGCAGGCAAGAAGGCGTGGAGCCAGCTCAAAGGATCACAGCTTTAGAGGTGGAAGGCAACACAGAAGTCACTGAGTCCAACACCTTGGTTGTTTGGACAAGGAAACTGAGGCCCAGAAAAGTCAAGTGACTGGGTCTGGGTCACATGACCAGGAAGTGGCAGAGCTAGGACCGTAACCCAGTTCCTTAGAGTTCTGCTCCTCCGGTACCCCAGTATCTCAGTACTCTAGTACCCTACTACCTCAATACCCCAGTGCTCCAGTATCCCAGTGTCTCAGTACTCTAGTAGCCTACTACCCAAGTACTCTAGTATCCCAGCACTCTAGTACCCTACCACCCCAGTACCCAGTACTCCAACACCTCAATGTTGCAGCACCCCAGCACTCTAGTACCCTACTACCCAAGTACTCTAGCACCCCAGTACTCTAGTGTCCCAGTACACCAGTACTCCAGTACCCTAGCATTCTAGTACCCTACCACCCCAGTACCCAGTACTCCAGCACTTCAGTGTTGCAGTACCCAGTACTCTAGTACCCTACTACCCAGGTACTCTAGCACCCTAGTACTCTAGTACCCTATTACCCAAGTACTCTAGCACCCCAGTACTTTAGTATCCCAGTACACCAGTGCTCCAGTACTTTAGCATTCTAGTACCCCAATACTCTAGAATCCCAGTGCTCTAGTACCCTACCACCCCAGTACCCAGTACTCCAGCACCTCAATGTTGCAGCACCCCCGTACTCTAGTACCCCAGCGACCTTCTTCCAGGTGGGTCTTTGTGAAACCGAGCTGTGGCCAGGTCCAGTCACCCGGCCCCCTACACAAGCACAGCCCCCGCACGCCAGCAGCGTAAGTGGAGAACTTTTTAAAAAAATGATTCGGGGCCCGACTTCCCTAGATTGGCTGTCAGTATTGATTGAATCCATCAGATAACATCCCACCCCTCGACATTTCGGAGCCCTTGCCGACGCATCAAAGCGCCAAGGTCTTTTCTTCCCCAGCGTTCCCAGCAGCAGGAGCCCTGAGCCCAGATCATGAATTTGCATGCTTCTGACCCGGTGGCCTTAAAATAATGACTTCAGGAAGGACCTGGGGACGACAGAAGCCTTTTTTTTTTTTTAATAGATTTCCCCCGAATCTTAAAGACCGGATTAATGACAGCGGCCAATCTCATCCACTTCCACAGGACATCTCAGGGGCTCGTGGGGTCGGGTCCCAGGAAGTTGCGGTTCTTTTGCCAAGGCAGAATGAGCAGGGGGCTGGGCCAAGGCCCAGACAGACCCGCTATTCCATGTGCTGCTGAGCAAACCTCGCACATCCCCTCATTTCCTTGGAAGGACTGCATGAAAAGAAATTGGAAAACATTTAAAGCGCCCTCCAAGTTAGAATTGATACCAGAGGTTCAGAGAGGTGGAACGGGCCTCAGAGCCCAATCCCCCCACTGTACAGATGGGGAAACTGAGGCCCATAGAGATGAAGTGACTTGCCCAAAGTGGCACTCTTATGGGATTTAGAACTAGAAGGGACTTGGAAGTCAGTCCAAGACCTTATTTTATAGATGAGGAAACTGAGGCACCAGGAATTTGATTGATGTTGATTACTTTTATCTATTTTTAAAATGCATTTTCACAGACACTTTTTTTTATATTGCTGTCCCCCTCTCAGAGCCCTGTCCTTCGTCACAAAGAATAAAAAAGAGGTGGGGACGCTATTCAGCAAAACTAACCAACATAATGAAAGTCTGACCTCTGCAAAGAGGTGGGAAGAGATGCCTCCTCAAAGCCAATCTCGAGGCCCAAGTCTGGTCATTATAATTCCACTTACTGAGTTTTTGGCGGTTTACTTTGCTGTAGGCCTCAGACACTTACTAGTTGTGTGACCCTGGACAAGTCACTTCACCCTGCTTGCCTCAGTTTCCTCATGTGTAAAATGAGCTGGAGAAGAAAATGGCAGACCACTCCAGCATCTCTGCCAAGAAAACCCCAAATGGGGTTGTGGAGAGTCAGACAGGACTGAAAGCAACAATGACATGCACGTACACACGTAAACATTTGGCACAGAGGAGTTGCTGTCAGCATTGCTGAAGGGCCTTTGCACACCAGGAGCTCTGCATGCCCTTGGTGGCAGAGTAGTTGTGCATCTTTATTGATGAGAACTTCATTCTTCACCACAGTGCAGGGAACTTCCAGTGTGCAATCTCCCTTCAGCAGCACAGATCAACCTTTCCTCTGCTGCTCAAGTCCTAGGTCTACAGCAGATAACCAGGAGAAGGGAGGGCGAGCCCTCTCTGTCCCCCCGCGTTGGGGTAGGGACAGAGCTCCAGAAGCCCACAGGCCCTTCTAGACTCTAGAGTGCCCCCTCATGGCTCCTTCCTTCTCTCCTCCCTCTCTCCCACAGGAGGCCAGCGATTGACACAGCTCGGAGACCCGATCCAGGTGACCTTGGCCAACCATCGCCTTCCCTTGACTTGTAAGGTCACCTACCCCTACACCCCAGCCTTCAAGAAGTACGCGTTCAGTTACTATCACGTTGACCTCCAGGGCAGGCAGAGCCCCCCCGTCTCAGCCAGCTGCAGTCAGGCCCCGGGAGTCGAGAACATGACCCACACCGACACGTGCTCCTTCACCCTGACCGCTCTGCACGACGCTTCGGCTACAGGCACCTACTACTGCCTGGTGAAGTGGCCTTCCCACGAAGAGGCGGGCAGGGGGACCTTTATCCTGGTCCGAGGTAAGCTGTCTTGGCTGGCCCATAGCTTTCCCTGGGTGGAGAGAGCAGAGGCCGAAGGAGCAGCAGATTCAGGGCTGTGGGAGGGACCTTGGAGCTCACCTGGTCCACCACCCACCCTTTACAGAGGTGGAAACTGAGGTGGCTGAGCTGGGACTCCAACCCGGGGCCCTTGACTCCAAACCTAGACCTCAAGGCCTGGGCACAGGGAGGGTGCTCTATGAACTTGAAGGTGCCAAAGAAATTGTAGCAGTGAGGATTTTGCTTCAGGGGCTGAGAGGCAGCATCCCAGAGTGGCCTGAGTGAACTATCTTACCTCCCCCAACCCCTGCCTCTCCACTCAGGCTCCAAAAGCATCAAAGGAAGAGCTGGGTTCCAATCCTACTTCCTGGCGGTGTGACCACAGATAGGTCATTAAATGAAGCTGAACAGCTTTCTCCTCTAGAATGGGATTCATCTCCTCCACCCCGGCTCTTTCCTTGGAGGATTATGGAAGGTATCAGATGAGACATAGGCTCTGACTACACAGATGTTAGCCGCTCTCTTGTAGAACGTCCCTGGGACGTCAGTTGGGTAAGGAGCGGAGCTCGCTAGAAGGGCAGCCTTCCCACATCTCCTGCACCAGAGCACTGACATGTCCAGTGACCTACCCAGGGTCACCCAGCAAGGGAGTAGGGAGGGAAGATTTGAATATGGGCCTTCCAGTCTCCAAGAATCAGAAGCCCCACCTGGAAACCTCAACCTTGGGAGGCTTTCATGAGAAGGCAGGAGGCGGGCTCTGGAAACCTGGATTTCACCCTGGACAGAGCTCAGCCCCCACTCTCTATTGCTGGCCCAGGTTCAGAGAGCTAGTTTCAAGCCCACACCCTCTGCTTCCACTTCTCTGCTCTAACTACCGTCCACCTGGGCTGGAGTCCCAGCAGAACCGACCAGCTGGACGACTGTGGACAAATCATTTGGCCTCTCCAAAGTCCTCCTCAAGTTCTAGATCAAAGATCTAGATTTCTCACCATAAAATAGAGCCAACGCCCCAGGCTCGTGTGAAGGAAGCCTGGGGCCACCAGGAAGCCACCAGTGCAGACCACAAGCTCTGCTCAGCCCTGTCCTCACACCCTGTCATCATGTCCTCACAGATGCTGGGTATAAAGAACCCCCAGAGAGCTCCAAGAAGATTCACCTCTTCACCTTCACAGGCCTCCTGGCCGTGCTGAGCATCCTGGGAACAGGCCTGTTGCTCTGGAAGGCAAAGGTACATCCCGGCCCCCCCCAGGGATGAAGGCCAGGGCTAAGATCCACCATCCTCACCCTCTCTCCATGCCCATGGGCATCCCAGAGGAGTCCAGGCTTGGGCCAGGAGGCTCAGGGTGTCTCTCTCCCGAGGGGCCCCCTGCCACCACCTCTTGGACCCTGGGCCGGCTCCCCACTGCCAGGAAGGGGGCAGGGGGCAGGAGAGAGCCTGTCTGTCCCTCCTCAGTTCTTCAAGTTTGCCACTGTGGGGGCCGTGTGGTGGTCCTTTCCTCATGGTCTTGTCATGGGATTGGAGAAGATCGAGAACTAGAAAGGACCTGAGAGGTTCTCTGGTCCAACCCCTTTAGAGCATGGAATGTCAGGGCTGGGAGGGGCCTCAGAACAGGGGATGGCAGGGCTGGGAGGGGCCTCAGAACAGGGGATGGCAGGGCTGGGAGGGGCCTTAGAACAGGGGAGGTCTTATATTCTTCCAGGAGATGGACAAATATGGGAAACACTCTCCTCACTCTCTAGGCTCCCAAAGGGCAAGGTCCAGGCCTTACCTCCAGTCTGTATCTGCCCCAGCTCCAAGCACAGAACTCTGACCGTACATGGGATGTTCATAACAGATCCACCCACTTGCCTTTTCCTCTAAACAACATTCCATACCGGCCATGCCTTTCTAGGCCATCCGCTGTGCCTGGAATCCCGCCCTTCCTCATTGCCCCTCCAGAATCCTGGTCTGACTGCCTTCAAGGCTCAGCCCTGGGGCCAACCAATGTTCTGACCCTCAGCCCCAGAATTCCCCTGGGCCCCTTTTGCATTTATTTCTCGGTGTGCTGATTGCTTTTCCCAAAGGGGTGTCCCGTCTTTGTCCTCGGAAGCCCAGCACACAGCTCAGGGCCGGGCCCCCAGCAGATGCTTAATAAATGCTGAAAGGAATAAAAGGGATGAGTGACTGGGTCTCGGGGAGGGGCGGGGGGGTGTCTTCCTGGCGGCTGCAGCTTTCTTTCCAGAGAGCCGGGGGTGCACAGGCCTGCAGGACACCCCACCACAGGGGCAGGCCCACAGCCACTCTCTGGATAAGTGGCCTTTGAGAAGTGGAGAGGTTCCTGGGCACTTACCTGCCCTGTCCTTCTGTCCCTGCAGAAACAGAGGAAGTCTGCCAAGAAGATCCCACATCAGAAAGACCCGGGCCCAGCTGAGTGCTCAGCAGACCCCAAGCCTGATCCGGCAGGCTCCATATACACTGTGAGTGGATCATTCCTGGTCTGGGCCTGACTCAAACTCCCTGCAGGTGGGCCCATTGGGGAATGCGTTCAACAGCCTTGAAACAGGGGGCCAGAGGACGCGGGGTGGGGGGAGGTTCCTGGGAGGGCCAATTAGGCACTCTGGAGATGTCATAGGAATCTGTTCTGTCCCCTCACTTACCTCTTGTAGGATGCCGACACGTGGCTGCTGCTGAACAGAAAGAGGCAAGGGGAAGAACCCCAGACTGGGAGAAAGAAGAGCTTAGAACAGGGGACGTCAGAGCTGGGAGGGGCCTGAGAATAGGGAGTGTCAGAGCTGGGAGGGGTCTTAGAACAGGGGACGTCAGGATTGGGAGGGGCCTGAGAACAGGGGGGTCAGAGCTGGGAGGGGCCTGAGAACAGGGGGGTCAGAGCTGGGAGGGGCCTTGGGAATCAGGGGTTCTGCCCTATACTACTTGTGTGGCCTCTGTCTCCTTGGGAAGCACGCTGATCTCACTCTGAGAACAGCCCATAATTTGCGGTTCATAGGTGAATAATAATAGGTGTCCTTCCTCCAGTACTTGGCAGATTTCAGAAGCACTTTAAGGTCAGGTGCCATAGTGGTTAGAGCCCTGGGCTCAGAGTCAGGAAGTCCTGGGTTTGAATCCTGCCTCGGGCACATCCCAGTGTGAGCTCCTTCAAAGCCAGACGTCCACCCTGGTGTTTGACGGGGTCCGTGCCTGCCCGGGAATGGAAGGTCTCTAAAAGCCTGTAAGCTCCCTGAAGGCCAGGCCCAGCCCAGCCCAGCACCTAGCACAGGGACATGGCAGGTGCTTAATGAATGCGTATCGACTAACTGTTAATCAACTGACAATCTGAGCTAAGCCTCCCAGTTCCCCCGGTGCAGAGCCCAGGGATCTGCGCACAGTAGGCCTGTAATAAGTTCTTGTGGAAGATCTCATTTCTAAGGAAATGGCAGAAGCTCCTCCTGCCCTCGCGATGACCGGGCACGGCCTGGCTGTCTTTGAAAGAGGCAGCACGGTGCAGCGGAAGGAGCTCTGGTTTAAGGTCACAGGCCCCGAGTTCAAATCCTGACTCAAACGTGTGGCCTTGGAACCTCTGACAAGCCCCTTCCTTGCTCTGGGCCACAGCTTTCTGTAAATTTCTCTAAAGTGAGGTGGTCGGTCAGACTAGACGGCATCTGAGCTCCCTCCCAGCCCCAGATCAGTTTCCTTCGGAGCCTCAGTTTCCTCATCTGTAAAATGAGGCGACTCGCCGGCTTCTAAAGCCGCCCCCAGCTCTAAATCCCGCGAGGTCGCCCAGGACGGGCCAAGGGGCCGTCCCCGGCCCCCCTCGGCTGCTCAGGGCTAGGAGAAGGCGGAGGACGGCTGGGTCGAGGGGCCGTCCCCCGCTCCCTCGGACGGCTGGGTAACAAGAGCGAGCCTCGCCCTGGCTGCTCTGCACAGGACCCTGAGCATTCCTTTTGCTTTTTGGCGAGGTCGTCGGGGTTAAGTGACTTGCCCAGGGTCACACGGCTGGTGAGGGTCAAGCGTCTGAGGCCGGATTTGACCTTAGGCGCAGCCCTGAGTGTTTCTGAGCGCGAGGAGGGTTTACAGTCTACTTGTGTCACGAGAACCCCTTGAGGCAGGCAGAACGGATGTTACTGCGCCCATTTTACAGGTGAGGAATCAAAAGCCCAGATTGGCGCAGTGACCTGCCCAGAGCGACACAGCCGTCGCGTGGCAGAGCCGGGTCTCCTGATTCCGGGTCCAGCGGGTCAGGGGCGGGATCTGAACCCAGGCCCTCTGACGACGTGTTTCTAGTGAGTCAGCGAGGGAACCAGGCGCTATTTGTTTTCGTGATGCGGGCAGGGCTGCTTCTGGCTCATCGTGTGTGTTCAAGCCTCAGAACCTTCTTACCCAGGGTCCCGGTTCTGGAGCTGGAAGGAACCTCGGAGGTCACTCAGTCCAAGCCCCTCATTTTACAGAGGAGGAAACTGAGACTCAGAGAGGTTAGCTCACTTAGAATCTTGAGACGGCCAATAACCCAAACTATTCTTATTTTCAGTCATTCAGGCTTGGGTTCAAGACATTCACTAGCTTAGTGACCCTGGGTAAGTCCCACTTAACTCCGTCTTCTGTAAAAAGTGGAGAATGATGGCAGCTACCTCACAGGATTGTTTTGAGAAGAAAAGGAGGCAATATTTGTAAACTGTTGGCCAAACGTAGATGTTATTATTTAGACGTGTTATTCTCCTCACTCACGAGTGGCTTCTCTGAGGCCCCTCAAACTCACCTTCACAAGGGGCAGCTAGGTGGCTCAGTGGATAGAGCACTGGCCCTGGATTCAGGAGGACCTGAGTTCAAATCTGGCCTCAGACACATAACACTTTCTAGCTGTGTGACCCTGGGCAAGTCACTTAACCCCATTGCCTAGCCAAATAAAAAAAAAAACCCACCTTCACAGAGGGGGTGTTGCCCTAGAGCCCCCTGCGCCAATCACCTTTCCCTGATGATAAAATGGGAGAAAGGAGGGGCCCCCATCGCCCTCCCTGCCAGATGCTCCCTGTAGCTCTTAGGAAATCTGGACTCAGCATCAGTCCTTCTCCATGGTCCTGGAGTCTAGTGTGCCCATCAACGCCAGGGGAGCTGCGGATCTCAGAGATACAGAAAGCTCTGTTCTGTCATTTCCTGGGAGAGAAGAGACCCACATCCTGCAGACCACCAGCTCAACCCAGGCAGATGGAAATTCTCCTCATAAAAATTCAGGTCAAAACCTGAATAAAAACGCAGGTCCCAGAGGTCGCCCCTGGTCTAACCTCTTCTCTCCAAGCTGTTAATTGGCCCCTTGCTTATCAGACCATTAGCAGCTTCTTCATCCCATCAGGGCCCAGAGAATAGGCTCTGGCCCCTACCCCTCGAGAAAATCAGAATATGTAGCAGCCTTCAGGAGATGCCCTACCCCAGAGCTGAGGACGGGGGACAGGGAGAGGAGCAAGAGCTCCACAGGGCATTGACTCTGGGCATCTTGGATTTAGAGCTGAGAGACCTCAGAGCCATCTTGAGGAAACTGAGGCCCAGAAAAAGGCCCCTCCCGAGCCAGGATTCAGGCCCCCGCAGACTCCCAATGTCTCCATGGTGATCAGCCCTGTTCCCAAGGGCTCTTAACGCTTACACAACACATGGTGTACAATTGCCCTCTGAGGCAGGTAGCGAGTGTGTAATTGTTCCATGTTACAGGGGGACAAACCAAAGCTCAAAGAGGGCACCCAGCTAGGGAAGAGGGGCAGTGGGATTCGAACCCAGGTCCAGGTTCTGCCCACAGTACTGTGCTGCCCTTCACTGCCCCCTCGCTCTGAAGTTTATTGCAGGAGGGGGTGTCCTTTCCGCCCTTTGAGCCTCATTCCCCTACTCAACTGGGGACTCTAGCTCTCACCTCCTCGGCCTCCAGGGGTGTTGGGGACAAGCCTTAGCTCACAATGGAGGCAAGGGTTAGAATTGTCTTTTCCTGCTGCTGCCCCCACAGTCAAGGCAGCTCCTTCCCCTGCGAATGGAGGCATTGAGTGCTTCAGAACTGACGCATCCTTCCCCAGAATGCCCGGGGTAGCAGGGCTGCTGATTGACATCATGGTGCTCCTCATCATCCCCTTCTGCAGTCAGACCCCACACCCCCATGCAGCCTCTTCCCAGCTCGTCTGTCCGGGCTAGCCACCTGGTCCTGCAGCTGTCTTCCCCTCCTCTTCCTTCTCCTTCCTCCCCTTTTCTCCCCCCTCCTCCTCCTCCTCCTCCTCCAGAGATCCTGCCTGCCTGTTACCAGAGAAACCACCTCCTTGGCAACCCTCTCTCCTCCATGTGACTGAGACACAGGGAGAAGTCCCCATCTCTCCCTCAAGCTCATCCCAGCGTGCTGGCTCCATTCACTCCACCCAGGAGGGCGTCAGTGATCATGACCACAGACGGCTGGACTGGACTCTCTCCTGAGCTCCCCCTGCTTCTGAGGGCTACAATTCTGGGATGCTGTGCGTCCTTCATGGTGGCAGAGGTGGCCAGGACCCGACCTAACATCCCTGCCCCGCCACCGCTCTGCTGTGTGGCCTTGGTCCAGTCAGGCCCCTTCTCTAGTCATTTGCTTCGTCTTCTGCAAAACAGAGGAGTTGGATGAGATGACCTCTAAGCTCCCTTGTGCTGAGAGTCAGGCATTCTGTCTGCAGATGCTCTCGTCTGGGACCCCCACGCCATCAAGCAGAACACAAGTACCCTCTCTCACGGGCATCAACCTGCCAAGCGGCGGAGGAGCCTCAGGCCCGTCAGAGGTCCTCGGGACACCAGCGGTGGTACCTGACTGGCCGACCCCGGGGGCACTCAGCCACTACAAATGGATGGATTTCTTCTGCTGCTGGTTTAGGATAACCCCTGTCCTGCCACCTGCGGCAGAATGGCCGAGAGAGAGGGAGGCAGCGCACGGCTTATCAGCAGGCCGCCTATTACCATGATTATCATTGCTTTCTCTCAGATGAGCAAGGACTGCAGGGGACCCAGAGGGCAATGAGGAGACATGAGGTGGGTGCTAATAGACTGCCAACCACAAGCCAAGCTGACTTATTTGTGAGAAGAAACGTCAACAAAATCTTCAAGGCTATGGGACCGGAAAGGGAGCTGGGCTGGTCACTTTGCAAGAGTAACATACAGGGGAGGCTTAGGACTGCACTCCGGTCATTCCCATCGGCCACTGAAGGACCTCTGGCCTGATGGAGTCATTGTGGATGAGATGAGTGGCAACTTGCGTGTGTGGAGGGACTGCCCGGAGGGGGAGTCTGTGGCCCAGCAAAGCATGGATTTATCGGTATCACTGGGGCTGCTCTTGGTTCCTGGGATGCCGTGGCCAGCAAAGTCACTGACTCTGGTGAGGGAGCTCTCTGCATTTGGCTGAGCCGTCCTTGGAGGATGCGCTAACAATCCCTCACCAGACCCTCGCATAGGCCTTTTTAAGCTATTCCTGCGTTCCTACTGTACTGGAAAAGCCTTCAGGAAGCCAGGGCGCTCCTCTCCATGACGAAGCGGCCCAGGGTCAGGGCTGGCGTCTGTCACACCCAGGCAATCAGCGCGAGACATGAAAATGTACCCTCACGTCATCTTCTCAGGCCAGAGTCAGGCAAGGGGAGTACGCAGAGACACCAGGCACCCGTCCTTCTGGGCAGAGACCCCAGGGCACAACAAGCCCATTCTGAAGTCAGTCTGCCACGGGGTGAAGGCGGGTTCACCTAGGATGGGGCAGCTGGAAGGGAGGAGGGAGATACCAACCCATTACTTCCTATTTTAACTAATTATCTGTGATTATCAGTAATTATTAATTATCAGTAATTAAGTAATTATCAATGATTTCTATGACACTGAAATAGCATAGGGGCAGCTAGAGGGCGCCATAGTGCACAGAGCACTAGGCTCGGAACCAGGAAGACTCCTCTTCCTGAGTTCAAATCCTGCCTCAGACACTTACTAGCTGTGTGACCCTGGGCCAGTCACTTAACCCTGTCTGTCTCAGTTTCTTTATCTGTAGAATGAGCTGGAGAATGCAATGGCAAAGCACTGTAGTGTCTCTGCCAGGAAAACACCAAATGGGGTCACAAAGAACTGACGATAACAAAACAGCATTAGTGTAATTAGAGCCTCTTAACTTAGCACCCTGGGACAAAGCCCTGACTTCCCCACCCTGGTTGGGCTCTGGGAATCAGCACTCTGGCTTGCACATGTTCTCCAATCTAAAGATCTGCTCCAAGTTCCAGGTACTCTGCAGTCTGCCACATGCCTTCAGAATGAGCGTACTAGGACAAGTAGCCATGGGGCATTTCTCCCACAGATGTCCCAACCATCAGAGGGACCTGCTGGGAGGGGCACATTCCTAGGGGACAGTGCTGGACGTGCATTATCTCTTTGGCTCCTCAATCAAAATCCTGGGGGGTAAATGCTGTGAGATTATCCCTGTTTTGCAGCTGGGAAAACTGAGATTCATTAAATGACTCACTGAGCGTCACAAAATTATAAAGCATCCAAGGCAGGATTTGAACCCAGGCTTCCTTGCAGCATGCTTTCTCTGGGCCTCAGTTTCCTTCCCTGTTGAAATAGAGAGTGGGGTAGATGACGTCAAAAGTTTCTTCCAGGTTGAAATCCTATGGTTCTAAGAGCCTGTAGTCGCCCCGGTGAAGAGCGGATTGATGTGACACAAAGGAGGGGCTGGAGGTGGGAAGACCCCAGTGGGATCTTGGCCCTGGAAACTGGGCCATCCCTGGGAAAGCCGAGGATCATTCCCCACTTCATTGATTCCTGCCTGGGCCGGATCAGCCCGCCCTGAGCCCCGGAGGCTGCACCCGGACATCCAGATGTGAGAGGAGTGGGTCCAGAGAGAAGCCCTGGGTTCTATTCCTCCCCTTCCCTTGACTTTGTTTCTCCCCTGCAGGCTCTTCAGACCCACCAAGCTGAGGTCTATGATTGCCTTCAGAAGGATGTCAGCGCCCCTCCCTCTGAGTGGAGCCCACCAACCCAGGTACCACCTTTGTATGAAGCTGTGACTGTTGTCAGGGCTGGGGGTGGGGCTGGGGTGGAGAGGCAGAGGTCAGCAGCTGCTGCCGATAACCCTGAGGAGGGCCCCCGGCCTTTACTGTGTCCCTCCCCTCCCCCAGGGTGCGCGAAGGAAAAGCAAGGCTAGGCTGCTGGACTAGTCTTTCTAAATTGTCCCTTTAAGTTAAAGTGCCAGGCCTGGAGTCAGGTGGACCTGAGTTCAAATTTGACCTCAGATCTTTTCTAATTGTGTGACTCTGGGCAAGTCACTTCACTTCTGTCTGCCTCATTTTCTTCACCTGTAAAATGGGGATAATAATAGCACTTACCTCCCAGGGTTATTGTGAGGATGGAATGACGTAATCATTGTAAAGTGCTTAGAACAATGCCTGGTGATTAACAAACTCTCATTCCCTTCCCTTCCCCCCTCCCCCCATCACTTAAATGCCTGTGGCTGGGACAAGAACGTTCATCTAATGAGGAGTTATTAAATGCCTCCTAAGACCAGACTAAATGCCTGGGAGGCGGAGGACCTCCCGTGTTCACTTGGCCCTGTGAGCCCCGGCTTCTCATCTATAAAGTGGGGTGATAGGAGAAACGTGGCCTATCACATTCAGGTCTGATGAGGCCCCGGTGAGACCACCACTCTCTCCTCGGCCCAAAAGCTCTGCCCTGTGGCTGCTCGATCACTCGGACGGCCGTGGCTCCCAGGCACCCGGACAGGAGCCGTCTCTGGCTGGATGAGAGACTCAGAGAGAATTGGAGCAGATCTGATTCATGCTTCCACTGTAGGCACACTACAAAGCCAAGTCTCTGAGTGCACGTCTTCTGGTGCAATTCCTAATTAGTTCTCAAAAGAGTCCCCTCTTGGAAAGGACTATTTCCCCATTTCTAGGACATAGAATGTCAGAGCTGGGAGGGGCTTTAGGACAGGGGAGGTCAAGGTTGGGAGAGACTTTAGAACAGGGAATGGCAGCGCTGGGAGGCGGCTTGATACGGTAGAAAGAATCCTGGCTCTGGAGTCAGAGAACCTGGGTGCCAGTCCCATCTCTGCCACTAACCATCTACGTGAAAAGTCACATGGTGACATAGAGCAAGTCATGTAATCTCCCTGAGCCTCAGTTTTCCCCTTTGTCCAATGAGGGGGTTGGCCTCTGAGGTCTGCCATCTACGACCCATGAACACAGACTATCTGAACTCGCCAGCTCCATTCTCCAGCCACACAGTAGCGAAGGGCAGGCCTAGGATTTAAATCCAGATCCCTGGGCTCATTTCACTGGCCTGTGGATTGTCAAAGCAGGACTGGGTCATTTCCAAGGCTGTTCTCACAGCTGTGCAGATTCTAGACTGAAAGATGCACGAGGGCAGGGCCCATGTCTTACGAAAATGTTGTAAGTCCCCCAATGTCTTGCCCATCTTTTCACTCAGTAGGAGCCGGTGTTGAGGAAGTGTTTGTTGATTGAATGAATTCACCATCTATTCAATGCCTTCTGTACACGAGGCCCTGTATTCCGGCCTAGGAGTTCAAAGACAATGGAGACAGGCCCTGCCCTCTGGGAGCTTCCAGTATGATGGGGAAATGAAGATGGATACCGATCCATCTTTGTAGAAAACAGGGCAGCACAGGATACTGTATAAGAGAAGTCAGAGAGACCTGGGAGATTTTTAGGATAGAGAGATGTCCTGAGGAGGAAATCAAAGAAGGCTTCACGGAGGAGGAGGCGGCCCCTGGTTGGACATCTGATCCAACCATCTAATTTTAGCAGACAATCGAGGCCCAGAGAGTGATTGGCACAAATCCAGACCATGAGTGATAAAAATGGGATCAGATTCTGGACCTGAGCCAATGAGGATGGAGACCTTTGAAAGGGGGGTCAAGTTCAGAAATAAAATTGGTTTCCATTTAGGACATGTTGGGTCACCCAGGTGGAAATGTCCATCACGGCTGAAAACTGCCTGGAATTAGAACCCTAATTCCATCGGGCCTGGAGTCAGGAAGACCTGAGTTCAGATCTGGCCTTAGGCAATCACTAGGTGTGTGAGTCTAGGCTGGTCCCTTAACCTCTGTTTGCCTCAGTTTCCTCATCTATAAAATGGGGATGATAATAGCACCTCCCTCCCAGGGTGGTTGTGAGGATCGATTGAAATCATAGTTGTATAGCACTTGGTGCAGAACCTGACACATAGCAGGTGCTGTTAAAATGTTAGCTATTATTATTGTTAACACTGGGGCTATTCCCATTTTACAGATGAGGAAGCTGAGGCCCAGAGAGATTCAGTCACTTGCTTGGGTTCCACAGTGTCACGTGACTCTGTGGCTGGCAGTTTCTCCCTGAAGCCCCTTCAGTGACTTGTAGCCCCCCACTACCCTCTGCTCCGATTTCGACCCCCCACCAGAGCCACTTTTCAGCAGATTTTGGACAGACACAGCTTCCTGAAGTCATTCCACTTGGCAAACTAATATTTCTCCCACTTTTTGTCGTTGTTATTGTTGCTTATTTTGAAGACAGAGCAGCCGCCGGGAGTGAAGGAGTTTGAGAGCATCTATGAGAATTTCTAAAGAAGGTCTCATCGCGGGTCCCTTCTCCTTTTCCCCACTCTTAAGGATATGAGGCTGCGTCAGTCCTCTGCCGCTGCCGTATCGGGGACGGAATGGGAGCTGACCTCCCCAGCACCTCTTCGGACAGCTCATACATCCAGCTGTCCATCAGGACACGGCCCGGATGCGCTTTGAGCTCCCTCCAAAGACCCGGACAGGATGGATCTTCCTTTCCCTCCGCTGTCCTTTCCCTTTCTCGCCTTCCCCAGGCCCCCGAGGAATCCCATGACTTCTCCCACGTCGAGCTAGGAGGCATCTACGTGGGCAGCCTCTTACCGTCTCATGCTACTGTTTCTACACACAGCCTCCCACAGAGGAGTCAGGAGTTTCTGAATTCTCTGCCCCTTACTGTGCGACCACGAGCAGATCACCTAAACTCTCTGA